GTGTATAAAGTCATTGCTGTCTCAGCAGCCAATCAACTTATAGTTTTATTTTCCTGGGGTTTTTTTTGTTTTGTTTTGTTTCTTTTCCTTTCTAATCGAGGTGTGAAAAAGTTCTAGGTTCAGTTGAAGTTCCTGATGAAGAAACACAATTAAAATTTTTCAGTGATGAATTCTGCATATTTGTATTTCAGACGATGTAGCTAAAACTTGATGTAAATTCCTCCCTTTTTCCTTTTTTGGCTTAATGAATATCATTTATTCAGTATGAAATCTTTATACTATATGTTCCACGTGTTAAGAATAAATGTACATTAAATCTTGGTAAGATGTTTGTGAGGGTTTTCATTCTCAATTATCATATAAGCCATTTTTGGCATCCTAATATCAACCAGATATAATCCAGATGTTTCCCTGGGAAAAATACTTTTAAGCAATACTCATTTTCAAAGGTAAAGATATATTATTTATGTCGCATAAATAGATGCACAATTAAAATTTGAATAAATAAATGGCTAGGATTTGTTTGTAAAATCAGGGAAGAGTTGCTTTGAATATAATACCCTGATCCTTAGTAGTTGCTAGTGCATTGTTCACAATTTAAAAGCTCAATCTTCAGCTGTCTTAAAAGGATAAGGGGGATGGGTGGAAAACATTAGGACAGCTTATTTAGCCTACTCAACATGGAATACTGGTCTGTATCTTTTTTTATGCCTTGTTATTTTTGAAATAGTTCGATAGGAAATAATAAGGTACTTTAATGCAAAATTAACAAGAGCATGGTAAACCTTTTGCCAGATAAGTAACAATTTAATTGTGCAAAGTCAAGAGTAGCAGACCTTTGTTAATTGAGAGCTGAAAAAGAGCCAAATCAATATTTTCCTGGCAAGACTACCAAGCTCCTAGAGACAATTTGAGAAGGAAGGAGAGTTAAAGGCCAATTTATGCACCCAACTGGTAAATCAACTGATGTACAAATGTGTACCCAACAGCATTAACTTGCACTATTTCCCCACCCATAAAAAGCCCCCTCTCAAGACTAACTGTGAATAGTCAGCTATGTGTCAAAAATGTTCTTAGACCTCTTCTGTTTTTATAACTCTACTTGCATAAAGTCATTAACAGTTGCAGAATAAAGTAGTATACAGAGTGCAAAACCCAGTACTTTAATAGCAAGTTACCCCAAATAAGTATTAGAGAACAGCAGTGGAGGTCTCACATAAAATCAGTATGGACATTTGTGACTTAAAAGTCCTCCTAACTGAAGTGGGAGTAAGTCCAACCAATTTAATGTGTGACATGCAACCCTGTTTTGATCATCGTCTTAAGAAGCTATCATTTGAAGAACAGATTTAGTCATCCTCAAATCAAAACTTCCTATCCTGGCTATTAAGTAGGATTGAAACTAAAATGTCCATGACCGGTGACTGGGAAAAGAGTGACTCTAAAACATGGAAAGGGTAGGTTAGGGATGCCTGTCAGGCATGGAACCACATGCAGAAATTCCAAATTATTTATTGCTAAAACCTATGAACAGGAATCTTAGATTTGCACCTGGGTAAGCTAGATAAGGTTTAACAGCATTCAAGATGGATTGGGCTACGTCGTCTTACGGCTGTGTAGTGATTCTAAGCTAATTCTTCATTTAACTCGGCCCTCCGTCTCCACTATTTTCTGTCAAACATCACCTTGTTTCACCTAGGAGCTAAGTAGAATGCTCTGGACACCCACAAGCAAGATTTAGGCAGATCAGGCCTCTTCCTCCATTGAGGGGCCTGAAGAATTACTATTTGGAGAGACAGTTTGCTCCACAAGACTGCTTTCACATTTGAAATGTTCATGGTTGTATTATAACTGATAAATATTACAGCTACGCACTGTTTTAGATCTCATCCCCCCAAATGTTTGGCAGCAGTAAGGTAGTTTTTAAGTTACCATCAATTAAGCAATAGGAAGAGACTCGGGCTTATTCAAGAAAGCTATGCTGTAGCATGACTAGATCCTCCATCTCCTTACTACCATGGCAGTGTAGAACTTAAGGTCAGTCAAGTTTTTGTTCTTGGCAGTTAAAATATAATGCTTCTGTAGCCAGCAGCTTATTCTTTAATGAAGTACACTATCTTCCGCCTGACATTTGAATGTTTATAACACTGCTGTAATAGGGTAGATTTTATTTCATCAACAGATTGCAGCAGTTCAGTGTGGCTTTGAGAACTTGTAGGTCTTTAAACCAGAAAAGTTTCAGCTTGAGGTCAGAAGTCAGCATGCCTCCAAGTAAGTTACAAGGGAACAATGGCAGATGTGATGTGCATTTCATCTCTGACAGTGCTGTGAGAAACAGAATGCTGGGCTAAGAATAGAAATTAAGGGCTGCAGTAGTTTCTTTGTCAATTGTCTGAATTCACCTAGATTTTGGGGAGGAATAGCTCAGGAAGGCACAGCAGTTTGCCATAGTCAGCAGTATTTAAAGCAGTCCTGCTCATCCTGAAGATTTCCAGATACAGTACATTGAGCTTCGTGCTTATAATTTCTTAGCCAGTTTGGCTGCTGTCATGCTAACAGGAAATTATGGGGATTGAAATCAAAAGCCCTTGGAGGGCATCAGGGTGGGGAAAGCTCATTTTAGACTCCTCAAGCTGGATTCACACTATGTAGTATTTCTCAATCTTTGCAACTTCTAAATGAACAACTCGGAATTCTGGGAGTTGGAAGTTCAATCATCTTAAAGTTGCTAAGATTGAGAAACAGTACAAAGGCACAAAATTGTTGATTAGTTAGTTTGCATATTTAACATAGAAACTTTCATCATTTATGGATGAATATGATGTTCATTCAACTATGGTTAAAAACCTTTGGCTTAGTCATAGCTGTTGTTTTTTTTACAAAAAAGATTTTTGTGCAGGTAAAATTTTATTACAAGCATGGATTTCCCCCCCCACCCCAAATCTGAATTTTATACATAAATTTATACATTAGCACATTCAGTAGTTCTCTCACACTTGAAGGAAAGTCAACTGAGCTTTTTTTAAAAGTCTAGTTTGAAAGGATTTGCGGGGGAGTATTTTATCTTTATGAATATGTTGTGAATACTGTATGAATGGTCTCTTGGTATTCTTGATTTGGACAGTCAACCAAAGCAATAGCTGGGAATGGAATTTGTAGACCCAAAGAGTATTTAAATACTGAGAAGGTAGTACTGTAGGCCTACTGTGGTTAAAATGCTCCAAAGAATAGAGAATTGCAGATCAAATACAGCTGCACTGTAGGAAGTTTTTAAGGAAGAGATTGGAGAAACATTTGTTGAAATGATGTAGGATTTCCTGCCTGAGCTAGGGGTTGGACTAGAACAGGGGTCGCCAACCTTTTGGACCTCAGGGACCACCAAATTCATAATTTTAAATCCCGCAGACTAGAGACCCTGGGAAAATCCCCCAAAAAGTCTGCAGGAAAATTCCCCATCCTGTTTTCCTATCGATCGATCATTCTTTAATTGGGATTGCAGGATACCATCTCCAGCTCTGTTCTCAGTGGGAGAGAGATAGAGAGAGACTTTTGGCTTTAATGCAAGGAAAACAGCAGAAGCCACAGAAGTCTTTCTTTCTCTCCCCCAAACTCCACCAGAAATGAGTTGGCGCAGCCTCTTGGAGTAGGATGCCTTGCAGGGTCCTAAAGACTCATTTCTGGTGGAGTTTGGGGGAGAGAAAGAAAGACTTTTGCTGCTTTCCTTGCGTGCAGCCAAAAGCAGAAGAAGAAAGAAGCAGCCCATTGGTCAGGCAAGGCATGTGGGGCGATTAGGGCAAGTTCCCGCCTCCGCCTTCCCCTCACTACCTCATGTTTGCAATGCAAGCAACGCAAACCTTGTGTTCCCGCGGGCCATGTGAGCGGCATAACTTTGTGCTCCTGCGCAGCCTGGATTAATTGCTTTGGGGGTGACATTTCTCTGCAGACAACCCAAAAAATTTTGCGGACCACCAGTGGTCCCCTGCCAACTGGTTGGTGACCACTGGACTAGAAGACTTCCTTCCAACACTATTATTTTGTTAAGTGGTGAGAAAAGGCTTCTCTACTTCCCTTGGTATCATCTTTGAGAGATCGCAATTGTTCTTGTCTTTTGGCAGTTTAAAGCAGGATTTAACGTTTGCTCATCTTTAGTTGTTTTGGACTACATAGCAAATGGTCATGAATTCTGGGAACTATAATAGAAACCTCTAAAAGTCAGGCTCCAGTGCTATCACTCCATACAAGAGCTGGGCATCAGACTTGATTTCAGTTATTTTTTTATGCAACAAACTCTGTTTGCTCACAATTACCCTGCAGCATTTAAATTCGCGGGAGAAAACAGCTACACTCTGCCCTACTGGAGACAAGGCCTTTGCAAGGTCGGTCCTGACTCCCTTAACAAATATGGCGTCTATTGCTTCACATCCCTATGCAAGGCTATTGCTTGAGTGGTGGTGGTGTTCCTTTCATAAAGTCCTTCGTACCCCGCAAATAAATTCAGTGCGTTCCGCATCATAACTTCCCGCAGGGTAAGCAAGTACTGTATTGGGAAATGCACCCAAGGGGTAACTGTAGGTTAGATTGGGAAGACTCACGCCTAATCGGGCTTCAACCTCTTTATCAGCTCCAAGCCATTGACTTATAAAGCCTCAAAAAGTTTTATGGAAGCACAAAACAATTTGTAAACCAACCGGCACACTGTATGTACACCTATGGAAGATAGCTTGATGTTTTTATGTTTTGTTTGTTTGTTTTTAAAAACCAAAAAAAAATTATTTAAAACAATGTTTTATGGAGACTTAAAAGGTCCAGAGTTAACTAAAGTCGAACTATATATATATTGTTACACACACGCATACATTTTCATTTTATCTATGTCAACTCTATGGTGAAACTCGTCTTGCCCCTCTCTCTCTCTCTCCTATTATCGATGATTTTGCGTTTTAACGCCGGAAGGGCGGCTACCTTCCGTTACTGCGCAGGCGCCAAGAGCCCCGTGCTTTCCGGAAATCCGGAAGTAGGCGGAATAGGATCTGTGAGTGTGCGGGGAGCGAGATGTGTGGTTGAAGTTGCAGCGTGGGGCGGGGGCGCTACCGCCCTGCTGGGACGGGCAGCAGGGGGACGGGGCCGACTCTTTAACATTTCCCCGGACGGTCTGGTCGCAGAAGCATCGCCCCGCATGGGCCCCTCCTATTGGCTACGGTCTATCCTATAGGCTCCCTTCTTCTTACCTGTGTAGCTATAGCTCCATCCGCCCCTCCCTTTTCCAGGCCTTTCCCTCCCTCACGCCCCTTTGGACCTCTCTACCATCTGGTCCAGTCTGGGGTAGTAATAGAAACTGCCCCTGTTTTCCTACTCTTCCCAAGAGTTTGGGGTTGATGGACGGGGCGGACTCCAGACAGCCTCATGGCCCACTTAGTCTTAGGTACCTGTTCAGAGGTATAATTCAACCTGGTGAATTATTTTCCTGAGTTTGTGTGTGACACTGACATTCATGCTAAGGGCTAGGGTTCACTACACACTGGGTTAAAATATGGTGAAAGTAGTTCTGTGTGTATTTTGAAAACGAATGAATCTACCTTGTTTTAAGTTAGCACACAGGGCTTGTTGAGTTAATAGGTATACATGGGAGATACATGCAGTGACTGTATGTCCTTTAGTCTTAAGGATCAGTCCTTTGTTTAAGAAAGCTGTCCTTTAGACTATTTTTCAAAAACTCACTTGGTCCTTTATTTGGGTTATTTAACTTTTACCGTACAAATAATACCACAGTGCACAGTCTTTCACATTCACGTGAAAAATACAGAAATTGAATTGTCTTTTTAAAGTAACTTGTTTGATAGATATTTTTAATAGCGTGTTTTTGTAAAGTTTTAACCCTGAATTTTTCTTTGTGAAACAAATTCAAAAATATAAACAATTAAGCTTTATATCCTTATGAACCTCTTTCAGACCTCCCCTCCTTTTTTTTGGTTTGTCCTTTTTTTTTTGCAAGAAAATATGACCATAGTAGATTCACATGGATCTCTGAGAGAAATGGTGGAGCTAAGTAATTTCTATACATAAGGAAGAGAGGAGTGAATTTAATGAAAGAGGATGTAATTTGCATTCTGAGCGTACCTGATGATAGAAAACACCACTTTCTTAGGTCCTTATTGTTAGTTGGAAAAAAATGATTGATAAGATAGGTAGACAAGGTGACTTAGTATAAAAACCCTATCCTTTCACATCAAAACCTTGATACATATCATAGTGCGAAGTTTCAGAAAAGTGGCGTGCACCTCTGTTTCCCAACACCCCTTTAATACAGCCTCTCCCAATATGGCAACTTCTAGACTGTGTACTTGGATTCTTGCTCAAGGAATTACTTATAACTTAACATCTTTAGTGGCTCTTCTTGGTCAAATGCTGGGAGAAGAACTTGGCATATGTGGAGAGCATGAGTTTCAGGAAGGTTGTAACAAAGATGAGATCTGCATTTAAATCATATGCTTTCTTGGGATCTGCTTGATATTTTGTAAAACCAGGAATGCTTAAACAGAGCAGGAATGTGTATATGCAAACTGTTGTCCCAAAGGTGCTTTTTAAAGAAGCAACTACTTTCTGATTTTTCTTTGAAGACATTTTGCTTCTCATCCAAGAAGCTGAGCTTCTTGGATGAGAAATGAAACGTCTTCAAAGAAAAACCCCAAAGTCCAGTTGCTTCTTTAAAAAGCAACTTTGGGACAACCATGACCTGGATGACTGAGAATCTCTATAGACATTATGCAAACTCACAAGCACAGGAGAGGAGTTTCAGTTTCACTTTTAGTTTCACAGCACCAAGCAGCTTTAGTACAGAACAGTTGAACTAAGCCACGCCCAGGCTCCTTGCTGTCTCCTTGCTCACACAGCAAATACTGTTTCACTTTACAAACAGTCCTCAATTCTCTCACACACTGACAGGATGCTAGCCAGATGAATACCAATGGATGCTGGTAGGCAGAGGCACAATTCCCTCCCCCCTTATTTTCTTCCCCCAAAACTAAGCCTGACCACATACTTTCGTAGTGAACCATGGGTATCGAGCTAGTTTTAAATGTTTTAAGGTTGTCGGGGTTGAAAAACAATGTTTACATATAATGAGCCCAGAGTCTTGCTTTTTATGACATACACAGCCGTTTAAGTACAGTATTTTGCTTACTACTATCGTTTTCTTAGCATTACCATTTTCTGTTTACAGAAACCTGAAATCAGCTTTTTTTGGATGAAGATTATGTATGATGAGAGGTAAAATAACAATAGATGTTAAAAGATTCATGCAACTTAACTATTTGGCGACTGGGACAATTTATTCCGCTTTCAGTTTTGAAGGTATTTTTTATTTCTGTTTTGATACATATATAGATATATTATCCTCAGGTTTAGTTTTCACACATAAAATTATCTTGTATTTTCACATTTCTGTATATGAATGCAGAACATTGGAAATGCGGTGTATGAACTTTATGCTGTGCAATATTGGGCACGATTTTTAGAAGCTATGCCTAGGTTTGTTCGTGAGCTTCTGCCTTGGTTTCAAATGAGCTAGATAAGTCATTATTCTCATAATATAAATCATCTTCTTTAAATAATAAAGGCATGTATATGTGTGTGTATATATCATAGGTTAAATCAGGAAGAAACTATATGACAAAAGAAATAGATTTGCTTGCATGGATCTTTTTTTGGTCCAATTAGATTTTTCAAGTTTAACCTGGGCAAGCCAAATCACCAATCTCTGTTCTATGTGTATTCAAGCATCTTTATTCATATAGTTATGAACTTAATGTATTCCTCATTCTGACAGTTTTGGTTTTGGATATATTATCTAATAGATTGGAAAACATTTTTTATCAGGTTAACGCTGGAGTTTTGAGGCTTTACATGCAAGTGCAACTTGGCAACCATAATGGCAAACTTCTCTGGATACTTCAGAGCAATTATATATAGCTAGATAGTCTTATTGCCACTGATAGATTAAAATAGGAACGAAAGCAGTTTCTCCCAAGTTTTGAGAATAATGCAAGAAAAAGATTGCAGATCTTAAAAACTGAATGCCAGAGTATGGAGGCTTAAAGTTACATTATTGTATATGGATTTTCTGAGCTTCATTCTTGACTTAGACACATCTACCAGAAATTACTGACTTAATTAAGATTGATTTCTGAGCTTCTTGAAAGCCAGCAATGTGGTTTTATTATTCTGAACTTATTTTACATATTTGAATCCTGATTTTCAATATTTTCATCATAGATAACAGGATACTATAAAAGATTAAACAACACAATCTTAACTAATAGAATTTAAAAACAGTAGTATAATCACAAGACCACAAAAACTAGAAAAGCAGCAATGTTTATCCGATGCCTAAAATCCAATCAATAGAATGTCACAGAATGCATAAGGGTAAGAAATTGAATGAATGAATAAATTCTTTATTGGCCAAATGTGATTAGAGACACAAGGAATTTGTCTTGATGCATATGCTCTCAGTTGGTACATAAAAAGAAAAGATACATTCATCAAGAATCATAAGGTACAACACTTAATATAGTCATAGGATACAAATAGGCAATCAAATCATACTGGGAAACAGTCAATATAAATTGTAAGGATACAAGTGACAAAGTCATAGTCACACAGTCACAAGTGGGAGGGGATGGGTGATAAGAGTGATGAGAAGATTAATAGTGATAGTAATGCAGACTTAGTAAATAATTGGACAGTGTTGAGGGGATTATTTGTTTAGCAGAGTGATGGTGTTCAGGAAAAAAACTCCTTGTGTCTAGTTGTTCTGGTGCGCAGTGCTTGATCGCGTTGTCTTGAGAGTAGAAGTGAAACAGTTTATGTCCAGGATATGAGGGGTCTGTAGATATTGTCACAGTCCACTTTTTGACTCATGCAATATACAGGTCCTCAATGGAAGGCAGGTTTGTAGTAATTGTTTTTTCTGCAGTCTTAATTACTCTCTGAAGTCTGTGTCTGTCTTGTAGGGTTGCAGAGCCAAACCAGGCAGTTACAGAGGTGCAGATGACAAACTTAATAATTCCTCTGTAGAACTGGATCAGCAGCTCCTTTTGGGCAGTTTGAGCTTTCTGAATTGGCGCAGAAAGAACATTCTTTGTTGTGCTTTTTTATGCTTTTAATGTTAGGTGTCCATTTTAGGTCTTGAGATATGATAGAACCTAGAAATTTGAAGGTCTCTACTGTTGATACTGTGTTGTCCAATATTGTAAGAGGTAGTAGCATGGAAGGGTTTCCCTAAAGTCTACCACCATTTCTACTGTTTTGAGTGTGTTCTGTTCCAGTCGCACCTCAAGGCTAGTTGTTCAATCTCCCATCTGTATGCAGATTCATCGTTGTCTCGAATGAGACCAATAACTGTTGTATCATCTGCAAACTTCAGAAGTTTAACAGATGGATCATTTGAGATGCAGTCATTGGTATATAGGGAGAAGGGAAGTGGAAAGAATACACCGCTGTATAGTTGTACCAGTATCTGATGTATGACGTATCTGATGTATCATTTATGATTGCATGCCATAAATGGAGAAGCTTCTCTTGTAGCCAGCAATTTTGCCTTTACATTTTGATTGTTACAACAGTATACAGCAGTGTTTCTCAAACTTGGCAGCTCGAAGGTGTGTAGACTTCAACTCCCTGAATTCCTTAGGCTCACCCAGCTAGGTGGGGAATTCTGGGAATTGAAATCCACACATCTTCAAGTTGCAAACATTGAGAAACACTGATAAACTATTCGGAGAACTATGAACACAGTGAGCATTTGCTTCCCTCTGGTGGTAGCCAGTTTAAAATGCAGGGAATCTCAAACCATTTAATCTTTCCATTTTACAGGATTTTTTTTCCCACTTAGCTCCTGATAATTGGGAAAGTTTATTCTTAAAATCAATAAAGTGGCTAGAAATAAGGAGCATATTAGCCTGGCTTAGCTTTGCATAAGATTTTCTTTCTTTTTTCTTTCAAATGAAAGGTTATTTCATCATCAGTTTTGGAGAAATGCTTGGTTGTACTTAAGGTACAAAAAGGTCTTTCCTTAATATTTTGTAAATGAGTTTTTATGCAATTCTCTGAAGAAATATGCCAACCATAGCTCTAGATCAGGCTACACAAACACAAATTGCCACGAGGACCAGCCCAAGATATGCAACAATGAAGTTGTGCCTCACATAAACACAACAGCCAAAATGAAATACCAGACACAAATACCCAATTTGTAAATGTGGCAATGAATTTTAGCCTTCGTATCATTGAATTTATTTTCTGGTTTTAGGCTTTCAATGTTTCTTACTGAAATTCCCTACATGTATGTTTACAATGATCTGATGAGTGAGCTTCAAGGCCAGGATGCCACTAAGGAATTGTAGAGACACATGTTGCCAAGAAGTGGTTTGCTTTGCAGTATTTTGCAGAATTATTACACTTCTGCTTCAGGTAAGTCCCCAAATAATTCATAAAACTCAATTATCAAACCATAATTACATAATAAGCAGTAATATTATCTGTCCATCCACAGATAAGGGTGTTCTTTATACTTTGCCTAAAATATTGAGAAAAGAATCTGCATGTTGTAAATTAAGAAGGGACATAACTATAGTATTCACTTAGCGAGTTTCCTAAAATTCCACATGGGCCAATCCAGGAAGAGCAATCCTATTAGAAGCTAGTATAAATAGTCCTCGACTTATGACCACAATGGAGCCCATAAATCATGGTGTCTGTAACTCAAGGGACTCATGAGACTGACCTGATTTTATGATATTTTTTTGTGGCACTCATAGAGTCTATTCATTCCTATAATATTTTTTTTCTGGAAAAGGCTGGAAAATGGCAACAAAAAATCATAAATTTTAATCATGTGAGTGGAACTGCAACTGCAACTGGCTGTAAAAGTGAACTGGTTGCCAAGTGCCTAAAATGATGTTCATGTGACTCCAGGTGTGAAGGGTTTCTGCTGTCAGAATTCCAGAATCATGTCAGAAGAATCTTGTCATAATTTTGAATGGTCTTAGTGACCACTGCCTGCACAGTGTAGTAGTTGATGTGTTGAATTAGGAGACCAGATTCAATTCTAGCTTCAGCTGCAGAAGCTGACCTGGTGACTTTGGCCCCCTCTCTGTCTCTGTCAACCCAACCTGCCTCACATGGTGGTTGTGGAAATTTGGAGGTGGGGATATAACTCTAACGAAAGCTTAATTATAAAGATCTGCCTGCATGCTCCTCCTTTTGATAGTCACTATTCATCCTTGAAGTCACCAAAGCCAGTAGCCATCATTGCATCACATTGCAGTGAATTTCATAGTTCACTTTGGCAAGTGAAGGCAAAGAATGTTTCCCTTTGTCTGCTTTACCTGAGAATAAGGCATATGGAGATCTAATGTGGCTGATACTTGATGGCTATGACTCAAGGGATTAATTATGCATAAACCTAGCAGCTGATTTTACAATAAACTTCTCACTGTGAAAAATAGAAATTTACTACTTGCAATACACGCAGGCATGCTGGAGTGTGAAGATTAACACAGTCAGTTGAAAATGGCCAAATGATGAGCAAGCATGTCTAAGCAGCTTTATATTCATTAGGTATTGTTTTAACAGTCTCTCCATATACAATACAAATAAAGGTAGTCTTTGACTTATGACCACAATTGGGACTAGCATTTCCATTGCTAAGCAAGGTGGTGGTTAAATGATTCATCCCTGAATTTACAACCTTTATTGCCAGTTGTTAAATGAATCAGTTAGTTGTTAAGCAAATCTGGCTTCCCACATTGACTTTACTTGTCAGAAACTGGCTGGGAAGTTTGTTCCAGGTGACATTCACAGGACCCTGGAAGATTGCAACTGTCACAAATACATGCCAATTGCCAAGTGCCAGAATTTTGAACCCATGATTGTAGGTGAGAGGACCAGTCATAGGTCACTTTTTCCAGTACTGTTGTAGCTTCGAACTATCACTAAACGAATGGTTGTAAGTTGAGGACTACTTTTTTTGACTGTTTGGGTGCCTTCCTTATTTCAATCAAATAGGATCTGAATGCAATGAGATCTAACCAAAATGTAAAATAGCACTTTTCGACTATGTTCAATATACATTTCCGTTTGTTGCTTTTTGTATGGCTATGAACACCTCTGCTCTTAAATGGCTTGAAAAGAATAATGTGGAACAAGAGAGGTCTTTTCAAAGAACCTTCTTTGCTTAGTTGCCATTTTCTGCTTTTTTTATTTCTCCTTCTTCTTCACCCAGGCCCTTTTCAATCTCCTGATTCCCGACCATGCCGCAGATGCCTTCTCTCCTCCCCGCCTGTCTGACCCTGGGTTCTGGGACCAACTGCTGGAATGGTTCCTGGGAGGCCTCTCCCATTGGGATGCAGAGCACTTCTTGTTCATAGCTGAGCATGGCTACGTATATGAGCACAACTGTGCCTTCTTCCCCCTTTTCCCCCTGACCCTAAAAGTGGTTGCAAACATTATCTTCTGGCCGTTCCAAGGCTTTCTCTGTTTCCGGAGCTGTCTGCTCCTATCTGCAGTTCTCCTCAATGCTGTTTTTTCTGTTCTAGCCTCTTGGACTCTGTATGAGCTCAGCTGCGCAGTCCTGCGGTGCCAAAGGAGGGCTTTTCTGTCCGCCATCCTCTTCTGCCTCACTCCAGCTAACATCTTCATGGCAGCAGCTTACTCAGAAAGCATGTTTGCCTTCCTAGTGCTTGCTGCCTTGTGGAGGCTAGAGAAAGGGCATCATTGGGTTAGCCTTCTTCTCTTTTCATTAGCCACCGGAGTACGTTCCAATGGGCTAATTAATGCAGGATTCCTCATTTATTCCCAGGCAAAACTCTTTGCTTTTAGCTTTCAAGCAAGTGAAAACGTGTCGTGGAAGAAAGGGCAGTTTCTAAAACTAGCTGCTGTTTTGGTGCTGATGACTGCCTCTGTGGCTTTACCTTTTGCTTTGTTTCAGTATTACACCTACCTTAAGTTCTGCCATCCCAATATTGGCCTGGGATATGCTATTCCAAAGCCGCTGTTGCAGTTGGCTGAATCCAAGGGGTATCGTGTAGCAGCTTCAGAGGGTGGGAAGCCCCCATGGTGTTCCTGGAACTTTCCTGTGCTCTATACCTATATACAAGATACCTACTGGAATGTCGGCTTCCTCCGATACTTTGAACTCAAACAGATCCCAAACTTTCTGCTAGCTTCTCCTGTTATTGTGTTGGGCTCTTGGGCAATCTGGTCGTATGTCACTGCCAACCCCTGGCACTGTCTAACCCTTGGTCTGATGAGAAGGAAGAGCGCAGGCATGAAAGACCATGACTCACACAAGCCAGCAGAGGGTTTTTGTTCTCCTGGTGTATTAGTCTATGTGGTCCATGCAGCAGCTCTGTTGGTGTTTGGGACCTTTTTCATGCACGTCCAGGTGAGTCTTGCTAAATATTGAATACTGATCAAGTAGTGAGTAATGGTATATCCTGAGCAGATATATTTATTCCTACCATGATGTTGAAATAGGATGCTTCGTGGCAACTCTCCCCCCCCTTTTTTTTAACAGAATATCAGCCCTGACCAGCTGTAGATTCCATTAGATAATTATTTCATAAACATATTAAGGATTTTGTGTATATGTGTGAAAACAAAAGTATTTAGTGTAAGGAAGATTTCTGGTAGTATCCTAGATATAGGACATTGAGAGTATCACCTAAATGGGAATATGTAGGATAAGGAGGAAAATGACAAATAAGATTCACTGCATGACAATTCATCAACCACTTTTGATCTTCAAGAGACAGCCAGAGTTCCTGCTTATACTCAGTCAGAACCAGTGAAGTTTGCATGATGCAGATCAGGGTGTTTGAATGATGGAGGGGCAAGTCCCTAGAAGTAGCCATATTAATCAGTTTTGACATAAAATAGCAGAATCAAGGCTTTTAAATAGCCTATGATAGCTTAACCATTTGACTTCGTGCATCTGAGGAAACTGGTTACTTCACTAAATGCATTAATCTGTAATTGTGCTACCTTGCTTCCATTTCACATATGCAGCAGTGTACCGTAGAACATATCCATTGCAATGTACAGTTCTAAGTCAATTTGGAAAGTGTTATCTGAAAGCAACAAGTTGGATTGTAGCTCTCCTGGGATTTGATTTAAATGATACACCAAATTTTAAAAGCAAATAATAGGTAATTTCTGGCTTGTCTGTTTTGGTTTTAACAATAGGTTATTTCTTAATCATTGGATATTACTCTACACACTTATGTTTGGGATAGAACCATCTTCATATTTAATTTGGGAGTTTACCTTTCTGCTAACGCCATCACATTATCTGTATGCTTCTCTGTATGCTGCTTCTTACCATTGTTACTTTCTTTCACATGCATGTTGTATTTATTTTTGGGATACCTGAACAAGGCAAGTATTTATTCCATGTTATATGTTTATTGTTGTTTAAATAATTAGTGTTGGTACACATCAAAAGCGAGCAATCTTTTTAGGCTAAAAGTCACAGCCTTGAAATGACATGTCAAGTTCAGATTCTGAAAAAGGAGGCAACCCCTGTGGTCTCCATAGCCATATTCATCACGTAGTTCTGGATAATATTCTCAACGGCATATAGTAGCATCCCATTAACCCATACTCGTTTCCAGCTACTCTAATAAGAATGGTTTGTGTTACTTTTTTTAAACCATTCAAATAATTTTATATGCATATTTCAATAAATCTTATCTTCATCTTCTAAAGGTAGACTAATGGAGATTGGGAAGCTGACATGGAGAATAGCTCAAATCCACCCGATTGAAACAGTTCTAGGTACAGTACTGTGGGTAGGGTTAGAAACTGGCTGACATTGACAAGGCCATTGGAATAATTGATAGACACAAAGAAGTTGTTAAATAGAACAGAAATATTATTACAGCAAAACCTGCTAGCAAATTTTGCCTTTGTATCCATTTGCTTTTGTAGCTGGAATGAAGATATGTTTCATGGAATTATTTTGAAACGTCTTGAGTACATGGATATGGATGTAAATCTTTTCCTTTATCTTCCTTTAATAGGTTCTTACCAGGTTTCTGGGTTCATCTTCTCCAGTCCTTTATTGGTTCTGTGCTCATCTGCTCTATGACAATGAACCTTTGCTGCATGATGGAGGTTCCCCATCCAAGCATAGAGAATTCCTTGCTGAGAAACCCTCAGTGGATAATTTCTTTTCTACCTGCAGTAGACATGAAAACCCCATGTTGATGCTTCTGAGCAAATGGAAGCAGAGCAGGATTCTCACAAAATGTATTTTGGGATATATACTTTTCTACTGGCTGCTGGGGTTGATCCTTCACTGTAATTTCTTTCCTTGGACATAACCATTTTGAATCTACTGGCTGAACAGGCTGAACATTTTTCACCGATCCTTTCTTCTGTACACTTGGTAACATTTACTGCTAATAATTGAAGGTGCAGGATTGATTATCTGAAAGCGGCAGTAAACTCAACCAGTGAAAGTAGCAAAAATATAACACCGGGTAGTAGAATACTTACATGCGACGTTGCAGTCAAAAATATCCTTTCTCAAAATAATCTATCTCATTCAAAATAAACAACAACCCTACCCCCTGCTTTTTTCTATATTTTCTTCTCTCCCAAGACCCATTCTGTAACCTACCAAGGACTGCTTTAAAATAAAACCCTAACCCTCTAAAAAATGCACTTTTGTAAAATGTGGGTTTTCCACAAGTCACTTACAATCTTCCTTTTCAGTGGTGATGTCTGTTATTTGATATATAGCAAAAATCTGAATTCATATCTTGACACTGTAGCAGAAATTGGCTTTAGTCTCTCTGGAGGCAAGAGGTTGGTACAGGTAATCTGCTTACAACCACAGTGGGGACCAGAATTTTGGTTGCTAAGTACGGCAGTTGTTAAACGAGTTGTGCCCAATTTTGTACTCTTTTTTGCCATGATTGTTAAATAATTTTAACAGTTGTTAAGCAAATCCAGCTTCCCACATTGACTGTGTTTGTAGAGAGCCAGCTGGGAAGGTCACATGACAATTGTGACCCCAGGATGCGGCAATTGTCATAAATACATGCTAGTTGCCAAGTGCCTGGATTTTGATCAGTGACCCTGGGAATGCTGCGATAAATCTAAGTGCGAGGACTGGTTGTAATTTTACTTTTTTCAATGCCATTGTAACTCCGAACAGTTGCTAAAAAAAAAGTTGTAAGTTGAAGACTACCCATATCATTATTTTAACCTTTATCTAAAGTTTTTTTTCTTTTGGGGTGTAGTTCCATTGGTTCTTAGAAATCAGTTTAGGTCAACAAATTTTTAAGCTCTTCTTGCCTTAGCTGACAAGCTTTCAGGCATAAATTTTCAGATCAACTTCAGTCTGGTTCTCAGCCTTGCAACACTGATTACTTTTTTTCAATTTGGTATGTCCCCACCTTTTACCTTCCTTCTGTCACAGTTCTAAATTTCATCATTTTACTCTTGGGCGCCCTGGGGATGTTGACAAGCTTTTTCTGCTTTTGACCAGAACAGGCTGTGATGGGAAAGCCACATTTTTTTAAATGGAGCAGACATAATCTAGATATGTTAAGGCACACTGCAGTTAAAATCAATATCGAGCTCAGTGTGCTGTACATGAGCTTGCATTTGAAAGCTATTTATACATCTGAGCCAGCCTGAAACGGTAGCTAATGCTACTGCAGATCTTGTCAAGTGAACACATGAAACTTTTGCAGGTGCCTGAGGACAGCTTCAGAACCATCTCTAGGTAGTGCATACCAATTTTATATTTGTAAAGAACTTGAGACTGTCTCCTATGTGAAGCTGCCTGCTTACTTAAGATCAAGTACAGAAGTTCACTTTTCCATCTTGCCAATATTTGAAGTATGTTTGGTAGGAATCGAGGAAATAGCATGCTATGTACCTTTGCTATGGAACTCCATGTCCAAACTTCACTTCTTTCAATGACTTCACTTCTTTCAATGATTTTTCCCACTATTTTGTGAAGAAGTCACAATCTCTTCTTTCCAGAAAGTATTTGATCTGCTAGGCTAAATGTTTTATGAACTCTATGGGAGAATCAATTGGGAAACACTGTTTATTATGTTTAGTGATTAACATTCCTTTATTACTTTTATTGCCCCATTGTTTAACCAAAACAGTTGAATATTCTTAAAACAGAAAGATGGGGTAAATTAGTACTACAGTATACATGAAAAGTAACCAGAGTTTGACTTTGTATATGGATAATCACTGCAGTTGTTGCTTTTATATATCAGCAACAACATGTAAAACACATAAGTTCCAACTTTTCTCAAAGAAAAATGGCATAGAATTGGAAGAGTACACTTAAATTCAATCCCTGCTCACTACAGAATTGAAATTAAAGCAACCCTGACAGATTGTTGTTGCCTCTGCTTTTTCACTCTCTAAAGTGCAGAGGGATAATTTTAACAAACACAAAGCTTGTTTTCAATACTGCCTTATACAATAATGTGACAACTCCAAATATGTTCATGCTAGAAATTGTTGGAGTAGTGTTTAAACAGCCTGAATCCCAAATGACAAATTATACAGCATATGAACCACAGAATACCTTAAAATTCCAGAGCACCACATTGTAGGCTGCTCTTCATGCCAAATCCTGAAATTTATTCAGCAAGCTACAATTGTCACAATGCACGATACAGAACCAGCCAAAATAAGACAAGCATGTTATATACAGATAGTCCTTGGCTTACAACAATTGAGCCCAAAATTAATGTTGCTAAATAAGACAGTTAAGTGAGTTTTGTCCCATTTTATAACCTTGCCACCACTGCTAAGTGAATCAATGCAGTTGTTAAATTAGTAACACAGTTGTTAACTGAATCCATTTTCCCCATTAGCTTTACTTGTCAAGGTTGCAAAAGATGATCACATGGTCTCCGGGCATTGCACCTGTCATATAATCCACTTGCCAAGCAGCTAAAGTTTGATCATATGACCTTGGGGATGCTGCAACGGTTGCAAGTGTGAAAAACAGTCAACACTTTTTCAGTCCCATTGTAACATTCGAATAGTCACTAAAGAAGTGGTTGTAAACTGAAAACTACGTGCACAGCATACCGTGGTCTATGAAACAAGCCGTGAAATAATATGTATTAGAAGTGGTGCCACGTCTTTCTATATTCTGGAAGTAACTTCAAAATATTGAAATGGGGGGAGAGAAATCTCCCATCTTCATAAAAACCATCGAATTACGCATATTCTTCCCAAGCCGATATTTACAGCTTTTTCTAAACCAGAGCTAGAAAATCCGGAAGCCGAGTGCCCCGTTGGTCCTCCCGGCAAACGAGTTCCGATTGTATCTCGGCGGCGTCCGCGAGGTACCTCAACGCGGCGGGGAAGAAGCCTGCCAGTCCGTCTGGCCGGCGCGCGCGCCTGGTCTCTGTGGCGCGCATCTCCCTTCTTGAGGGGAATTGGCGGGAGCGGCCCGGTGAGGGTCGCGGCCCTGCAGTGCGGGCTCCCGGCCGGCTTGAGGGGGCGCTGCGTCGGGAGGCCCGCGTTAGGAAGGCGGGTGGGGAGCGCGCGTGCTAGCTGCTGGTCCTCCCACCCTCTTACTCGAGCGGCCGCCGGAGAGGCAAAGCGGCCCGGTCTCTGCCATCCCGGCGCTCTGGCAGCGCCGCCCGCGGGGGTCCGGACGGGGGGCGGCCAGCCGCCGCCATCGCCATCACCGCCATGAAAGACTGCGAGTATCGGCAGATCCCGCCGGGCACCCCGGCTGCCCCCACCGCTTCTGGACCCCCGACCTCCGTGGCCACCAGCACCGCCCCCGCGACTCTGGCTTCACGGCCTCGCCGCAAGTGGGAGGTTTTCCCCGGGCGCAACCGGTTCTATTGTAGCGGGCGCCTGATGCTGGCGCGGCACAGCAGCGTCTTTCTCCTCACGGTCGGCCTCATTGTGGTTACGAGCGGCCTCTTCTTCGCCTTCGAGTGAGTCGGGGGGCAAACTTCCCCCGGGCGGGGCGGGGGGATGTGAATCATCTTCCGCGTCGCTTTTATGGACGATGCCTCCGTTTTCCTCCCTGAGGTCGCGCCGCCTCCTTTTCCTGCCTTCCCCAATAAGGTGGTCTCCAAATAGGTGGGGGCTGCAACTCCCCGAAAAGGCTTCCGCGGTCGGGGATGCTGGCTGTTGTGGTCCCCACCCATCTGGAAGCTACCTGGCCGACAAAAGGGGATAGACAGTAGCACCCCACATTCTCAAGTGCGTTACTGCAAGAAAAGGTTTTCTGACAAACAGGGTAAGCTGCCTTGAATTCTCTGGGACTTCCTCCTAGGTAAGCTCATACAAGAGTGTAGCGAGATTGGCTGCAAATGTTTTGTCTATGGAGATTTTCAGCCATCCAGGTCATAGTTGTCCCAAAGGTGCTGTTTTTCAAGAGGCAACTGGACTTTCTGGTTTTTCTTTGAAGATGTTTTGCTTCTCATCCAAGAAGCTTCTTCAGCTCTGACTGGATGGTAGGGAATGGAAGGATTAGTGGTATTCACTTTTGTGGACTGGATCCGGTTGCTTCAAATTAGAATCTAGTCTTTGGTGGTAAATCTATTAAGTTGGAATTGAATTGCAGTGGGGTTAAATTTCTTTTTTTAGCCTTTCACATATACCTTATTTTTCAATCATAACCAATTTCAAGAGGAAGGAAATTTCAGTATAGTAATTGGCACCTGCTACTGTGTAGCTGGAATCATTTCATTGCAACATGGAAAGCTGTACAGGTAGTTCTAACTTAAAACCACAATTGAGCCCAAAATTTATGTTGTTAAATGAGACAACAGTGAGTTTTGTCTCATTTTACAACTTTTCTTGCCACATTTGTTAAGTGAATCACTGAAGTTGTTAGTAACACGGTTGTTAAGTTAATCTGGCTTCTATGTTGTCTTCGCTTGTCAGAAGGTTGCAAAAGGTGCTCACATGACCCCAAGACATTGCAATCTGTTGTCAGCCATCCAAATGTAAATCACCTGATCATTGCAATGCTGCTACAATCATAAGTCATAGATCACTTTTTCAGTGCCATTGTAACTTTGAACGGTCATTAAATGAACTGTTGTACGTCAAGAACTACTTGTAATATGGGTTACTTGGCCTTAGCTTACATATTTAGTAAACTCAATGTCTGTGGGTGGTTTCATTTCGTGGGTTTTTTTTTGGGGGGGGGAGGAGAGATGAAGCCCAGTGCCATTGCAATACAGGAACCCCCAGGGTTCAAGCCTCTTTTCTCTCCTCTTTAATATTTACATGAAACCGCTGGGTGAGATCATTTGCTGGCAAGCGATGCAGCATTATCAGTACAATGATAATACTTAGTTATACATTTCCATCACGGCAGTTGACATCATAGTGCTGACCAAGTGCTTGGATGCTGAAATGGTTTAGATGGGCGGGAACTAACTTAAACTGAACTCTGACAAGACTTTGGGTTTTTGATCCCCAATGGTCTGGTTATATATCATCTTTGATTGTTGATGGACTTACACTCTTCTGGACTTGGCTGGTAACACAATGGACTGATGGCTCCTGCTCAAAAAGCCAGTGGAAGTCCTGCCTAGAAGAAC